AATACTGTCATGCGTTGCTAGATTATGGGACGTCATGGGTTTCGTAGCTCCGGTGGTATTATACGCTAAGCTTTTGATTAAACAACTTTGGTTATTTGAATGCGATTGGGATGACTCGCCGCCTGACAGCATTGTTCGATTGTGGCAGCGCTTTAGAGAGGAACTTCCTTTACTAAGAGAAATTAGAATACCGCGTCATATAAACGTCGATAGAAATAGCGTCATAACGGTCGTTGGGTTTGCAGACGCCAGCGAGAAGGCTTACGGGGGCATTGTATATTTCCACGTTCAGAATAATGGTATAAATTCGATTAGCCTCATTAGTTCTAAGTCGAGAGTCTCCCCCCGTAAGGTTGTCTCTCTGGCGCGCTTAGAGCTTTGCGCAATATTAGTACTCACCAAGCTTATTACCGCAGTTATCAGCGCATGTAGGGATAGAGTTCACATAGAAAGGATATTTGCCTTTTCCGACTCCACCGTCGCCTTATGCTAGGTTCATTCTTCACCCCACCGTTGGGATACGTTTGTCGCGAACCATGTGGCCAAGATCCAAGACGAGTTAGAAACGCGGAACTTTTATCACGTGTCCGGTACGGAAAACCCTGCCGATTGCCTATCCCGTGGACTCACCCCGATGCAAATAATGGACCACCCGCTTTGGTTCCACGGACCTTCTTGGGTTCACTTGGATCCCTCGCAATGGCCGATAACCGATTTCGAACCTTCGTCAGTGTCACAACCGCCGGAAGAGAAGAGACACGCTCTAGTGGCGAACGTTTCGAGCGAGGTTTCTCCAATCATTGCTTTGGCGAACCGCTTGTCCTCTTGGTCGAAATTATTGCGTAGCGTAATTTACGTTTGTCGATTCGCGAAGCTTTTACCGCGACGTTCGTATGTCTTAGCGTCCGATTACAACTATGCCGAGTCGCTAGTATTACGTGAACTTCAACGTGCGCACTTCTCTGAAGAAATTACAAGATTACAATCGAATAGAGCTTGTAGTCGCGCCTTTCAACGCCTTAAGCCATTTTTACAGGATGGGATTGTAAGGGTAGGTGGACGCTTGTCCAACTCGCAGTTGAGTTTCGACCAACGGCACCCTAAAGTTTTACCGCGTAAAGACCATATCATGAACTTATTAGTCGATTACCATCATAAATTGAACTCGCACGCTGGCCCCGACTTGTTGATGTCGATTTTGCGTCAAAATTATTGGATTCTTTCTGCACGTAGTTTAATACGCAATCGGGTGCACAGATGTATAGCTTGCTTTCGGGCACGCCCCAAGCCGTCATTTCCGGAAATGGCGGAACTTAGATCTTGTAGAGTAATACAATCGGTAAAGCCCTTCACGCACACCGGGTCGGATTTCGCTGGTCCGTTTAAGGTCACGCTCACTCGCGGGCGTGGTATAAGATCTACAAAGGCTTACGTCTGCATTTTCGTATGTCTAACTACTCGAGCGGTGCATATAGAACTCGTTGGTGACCTAAGCACAGCAGGCTTTATGGGTGCATTTAAAAGATTTCTATCCCGTAGAGGCCCTGTAAGTAAATTATATTCGGATAACGGTACGAACTACGTCGGTGCAAAACGTATTCTATCGGAACTACATGAGCTCTTAGCTAGCAAGTATTATAATTCGGATTTCGCTCACATTCTAGCCGAGAACCGCATTGAGTGGTCTCTGAACGTCCCAGCCGCGAGTCATTTTGGAGGCAATTGGGAGACTAATATTAAGAGTCTAAAGAGTCACTTATACCGAGTAATAGGAGATCAAATTTTGTCCTTCGAAGAGCTAAGTACGGTGCTCGCTCAAATTGAATGCGTAATGAATAGCCGCCCACTTTGTCGTACATTGTCTAGTGACCCCTCGGAACCGCTGGCTCTAACTCCAGCACATTTTTTGAATTTAACGCCTTTAAAGTATTTGCCCGCCGCAGATATGGATGAGAACAGACTTAGCATTTCCGCACGCTACAAATTATTAGACCGGTTAGTGCAATCGTTTTGGAAACGATGGAGGATGGAATACTTGCATACTTTGCAGTCTCGGCAAAAATGGAACACAGCGACTGAGCCTTTAGCTGTAGGAACTGTAGTCGTGCTCACTAAGGAGAATACGCCGCCTCTCCACTGGCCGTTAGGAATTGTCGAAGAGGTCTTTCCCGGTTCCGACGGAGTAATTAGGATAGCTCGCGTTAAGACCACGGTTGGGTCTTACCTGCGTCCTGTTGTCCGTTTGTGCCCCTTGCCTCTTCCATAATTTAAATTAGCTTTCTAGATTAAAATTGTAGTTGAATTTAGGTAATCTTAGCGTTAGTTAGTTATTTGTTAGTTGATCTTAGCTCTAGTTGTTTTAGTTATTTTTGAAGGAGATCCTTCAAGGGCGGGGGGAGATGGTTGCGCGGAAAACCATTCGTATTTATTTTATTTGACGGTAGGCTGCCAAATCGGTTATCCCTTTCCAAAACGATATCATTCATACCCTCCTATCGACACATCGGGGTGGTGGGGTGGGAGGGGAAAGAAGATGATTCTAGAACATCACGTAATCATCGGAACCGAGGATATAAAGGGCACGCGCGACCGACGCGCGCTCTCTTCTCGCCGCGCTCGTCGTTGGAAACACATCACTAGTAGAAACCGCTTTAGCCTGGAAGCAGTCGAGCTCCAGGAAACCCGCCTCACCTCGTGTGAGATATAGTCGCGCACCGCCTCTCTCCGGAGTGTTCCAGAAGTCGCAGTTATAGTGCTCGACCGCATAGAAGAAACATCCCGGTGAGTCAATATCCAATATTATAACCTGCTTGATATAATCGTTTTAACCCGCTCCAATTCTGTGTTTTCCTAATCAAGCAGGATTCCTTTCATCAATTTGGCAAATAATAGTTCGTTTTTAGGCAAGAGCGAGTGCATTGTACCGCATATATAAGTGTAGAATCATTTTGTAGATACAGTCCACTTAGATTAATATCTCGCGTAATAGGTTTAAGGTTCGACCGGGGAACTAGACTTCGGCAGCCTTAAACACGTGGCTCCACCAGATACAGATATAATAACAGGAAAATATTATGATTTCGGATATTGATTGTGTTCAAGGCGCTAAAGTGGACAATGCCATTGGACCAACTGAGTCTAAGTGAAGATAAATAATTCTGCTATTTAATATAAAATATAACTTATTTATGTGATTTGTTGTAGGAACTTAAGTGTTCTCCATGGCTGCATATTAGGACCACACAGGTCTTTCTTGAAATGAGAGGAGGCCTATGCCCAACAGTGAGACGTATAAAGGCTGTAACTTTATTTTTAACGTATTTTTCGTAACGTTGTGACTTCGATAGTAAGTTCAAGCATTATTGGCTGCTTGAACTTACTATCAAATATATTGAACACATTCTATGCCAATCGGCTTCAACCAAAGAAGGCTTTTTAAGGAGTTTTTTTTGTTTGCGTTGTTAAATTTGAGGGCTGAGATTGTATTCCCCAAAATCAATATTTACACTGGCTCACTCTTAATCTTTAAGCTGGAGACCAGTGTCTATAGAATACAAACTGGAATACAAAAGTGGATATATATTCCTAATGATATTAAGGTATTCCTAACCAGATATATTTTGAATAGGTATTCCGAACCAGGAGTTTTTTCGCCAAATTGGTTAGCACGGGAATAATCACACTAATTATCACGTGGAACTTAAGATAATAACCTATTAGTTTTTTTATAATGGCTATAACTACCTTTTGTGTATTTTAATATTATTTAATGAAACGATAAAAAAATTAAGAGATGGGATTTATATTTTTCCATTCCAGATTTCTTTGAGTAAAGTAAAACTATTTTAAAATCCTAGATTTTGTTTTTATTTCCTCTGCCCTACGGTTAGATAACCGTTATTCCATTTTGTTCATTGGATGCCGTTAGAGTATAGTACGAAAAATATCCAACCTTCCATGATTAGATAGCATAACATTTTGCACAAATAAATATAAGTCTAAATACCTTCCTCTGCTGAAAACAGGCCTTCTCTTCTAGAAAAACTAACAGTAATGAGGAGACTTCACACTTTCAGAAATATTTTCATTTATTAAATTAATAGAATAATGCGTTAAAAATTAGTTAGCTATGAAAGTCTTCTAATGTAGTGATATTGGAAGTAGTGGTGCGGGGATTGTGCACGCAATTAGGAGGGCGGCAGGTGTTCTTCAAACTAGATAAGATACATCGTTTTACGTGGATCTTCCTAATATTTTTTTTACTTATTTTATTTGTTTCCTACGATATGCACAATCCTTGCGATGATTACCTTCAATGCAGAATGCATGGTAAATTGAAATTTTAAAATTGTAATTAATATCGTTCATTTTGGCGGGGATTCTATTCGAATTGTCCGCGTAATGTATAATTAGCCTTGAATATGACTTATACTCAAGAATGTTATTACAAAATTTGGGGAAAATTATATCTTTGCTTACATTTTCTTTTCTTATTAATTGCAGTAGTTGCTTACAAATTCACAGCTGAATGAAGGCTTTTCTCATGCATTATCTTACTGAATAATTTTTTTCTAATTAAAAAATTTTTTAGAGTCCACAACTTGTTTTTGATAACTTATTTTGATTGTGTTATTTTTATTTTAAGTTTTATAACCAGTACTTGACTGTTTACTGACCATATGGTAAGTGGGCATGCAGCCAAGTATGTTAAAGCGCACCAAAGCTTAACAATAGCCTGTTTGTTCTTCTTTTGAGATCACGGACATTGTGATCGAATAGAAAGGTTTAGCTGTATGGATTACGAATGCCAAGCAAGCCGTTTGGTTCCAAAGCATTGTATCCTTGCAAAAAAGAGGTGAAATTACAGAACATCTTATTATGCGGTGGTGGAAGAATTCTTGGAAATATGCTACTAACATAGGCGAAAGACAAATATTTTTATTTGCTAAAATATTGTTAAAGTCAAGATTACTGTCTAAAAACAAATATATATTTTTGTGTTATAAATTTCCATTTCTCATTTTGGCATAATCTTCTTCCCAAACAATACTTTCAATCCAGTTAAGGAAACTAGATACTCTTGTGTAAACACTTGGAGTGCCCGGACGACCACAACCGTAGCCGAATGATGTTATACCAACGATGTAATGCATCTTCCAGTCTGTATATTCTGGTATATCGATTTTCATTTGTAATGGACCTCCAGAATCTCCCTGAAATAAACTAGGTTAATGATTCAGCTATTAAGAATGTTTAATTTGATAGAATTTTAATTTCTGTTTTTTTTTTTAATAGGGTAAGGGTAACAAACGAGCACACAGTCCACCTGATGATAAGCGGATGCTGACATTTATATTTTACCTCGATTAAGAATCAAAATGCAGATGCGTTGTCACCCCTGAGGTCTAAGATGGAATGCCTCGATTTCAGCAAAACGGGTCTCTGGTTCTCCATACTTACCATACGAAACAAAGCAGCATTAAGCTGTTATTTTACAAGGGTATTCTGTGAGAGCGTGGTCCTTCCCCGGTCGAGCCGACCCATTCGTGCTACAACCATATTATAGCTGCAGCGTGGCTCCACCACGTATTTTGTAGTCTTACATTTGTAATTTATCAATTATTTCCAGTTATTGGGAATGAAGTCACAAAAATTTAGGGATATATCCCTAAATTTTTGTGATTTTCAACGAGCTGTAACTCCGAGAAAAATGTTCGTACACCAAAATTAAAAAAAGCAAATTATAGCTCAAATCACAAAATACACTTTTCTTTTGTTTGGTAGGATTTTTGATATTCATCATGCTTGGTAGTCGTGTCAGTCGTCTCGTACATTTGACGCTGCTCCCTATTGCCAGTCTGGGTATTTACCGCCTGTTGTAAAAGAACATATCGCCATCTATCGCTTTCTCTGTTTATCGTACCATTACAACATCAAAGTCAATTGCTGAACATAGGACTCCCATAGGTTGCCTGTTAGGGTGGATTTTGCAATAGTTACAATGCTTTAAAGGCAGGTTGTCAACCACAGTTATTTCATTATTTTGAGTTATTACCAAAAGAATATGTTGTTGCCCATCTTCCGTTTCGATTTTCCTCTGTCGCCTCCTAGACACCTATGGGACGATATGGGGTAGTGAATATTCTTATACCACCATTACACGGTCACTGCATACGAAACTCGCGTAACGCAATTGAGTGACGGATTCACTTATACTAAGACCACTGAAGTACCGGCAGTAGCCATTGATTTACTCGTGCACTGCGAGTTTGTTATTCTAGTGTCATTAAAAAAAAAAACTACGATACCTGACAGGAATCAATACCACCGGGCAAATGTCCGGCACACATCTGATGGTAAGCTAGACCTCTCCAGTGTCTATTGCGTCTAGATTCAAGCATAATATCACAAGCACGCACACCTACAATATCCACCTCAGCTACTTGTAGTTTTGGATGCATTTCTTCATTACCTTAATAGTTTTAGAATTAAATCAAAGTTATTTTTAAAGGAGATAAATAGGTTTCAACTAACTTGGGAATTCCTAGCGTATGACACTCATAATGTGGGATGAGACCCTCGTAAACAGTGAGGAAGCACTTGCTGTTTACCTTAATGTTTCGATGGTATTTACAGGGATTTACCAGCTTTTGTTTTGATGTTCTATAGCCAGGTCTAAATGAGTGGGTAGAAATTTCTGAGTGAACAGTCTTTTTGAGTTGTCGGGAAGGCTTCTCATCTGACCCTGTAACGACTAACGCCGGAGTTCCTAAGGGATCGTCTGTTCTCTAATCGTATTCAAGCCATGAATAATAATAAGTAAAAATAGTTTTTATCGTCATTGCCTTTCTATTTGCTGCCATTTGTTCCTATTTGCTGTGCTATTTGGACTTAGTAATAAGTGGACCGGTAACTCGTGGCTAATGAATAAATGGTGTGTTATTAGATAACTCACATTGTTAACGTTGCTCTCCTGAGAAATATTAAAAATGCCAATAGTAATATATTGGTTTACTACTAGCTTTTTACCTGCGGCGTCGCTCGCGTGGGCTTGAATTTAGAAACACCAAGAATACAATAACCAAGAATACAAGCGTAAAATAACAGCTTAATACTGCTGTTTCGTATGATGAGTGTAAAGATCCGGAGGCCCTTTTTTACTGGAAACGAAGCATAGTCTCAAGGGCTGACAATGCATCTGCGTTTTGATTCATAACCGTGGATAAATTTAGATGTCTATGGGCCACAGCATCCACTTACCATCAGATGCACTGTGTGCTCATTTATCACCCTTATTTTATAAAAAAAACTATTTATTAAAATTAGCAAAACTGGATCACTTGTAGAGACACGTCGGTATCTGTGTCTATATTGAACGTAGAAAATGATTTTGGTTATATTATATGCTACATAAACACATAAGTTTATCAGAATTGCATTAATATCACACGGCTAGCAAAACTTTTTAATATCGGACACGTCTTCCGATGTGCCTTTATGAAGGGAAAATTACCCTAGAATCAGGAATACGTTATATACATAATATTCATAATTAAATTTCATATAGTTCTGACGAAATAATGTTGAATTTCATAAATTTCATGGCGATTACTGTACCGGATACTTCGTATATTTGTGGCTACAACAAGTCGCTGGTAGTAGGTGCCATGTTTACGTGATACAACCTCAGCAAAGAGACTTGTACAACTTAAAGCAAAGAAAGCCAATAGTATTATTAAAGTAAGTTAATCTGGAACATAATTTATTTTTATATGCTAGAGCCATACTCCAGCTATCTTATGATTGTAACATAAATACATGATCAGGTAAAGACCACGCTTTTAATACAAAATAAAGAAATATCTAACCTGCTTCAACTATACCCCATCCAGTCAAAGCGGCTACACCAAATACTTCTTGGAATTGATTAGTCCAGATGCAAGCGGGATGACTTTTAAGTGTAAACGTGACTGGAGTTTCAAGTTCTATTATTGCAATATCGTAATACTTATATGGGGACCTATAGTAAGGATGCACAATGAACCTTTTGATGATTGCGTCTTCTGGTGTCTGTTTGTTTTTATTCTGTAACAATTAAGGTATTATGTAATAATAATATCCCAATTTCAAGTTACATCTGATCTAAGTATTGTACGTAAGTACAATAAATAAATAAAACACACTCTTTAGGTTCAAAGCGATCGATGTTCGAACGAGCTAAAATTCCTGCTGATGGTGTAAGCCTTTGGACATGTGCAACTTACATTAAGTAAACATAACAAACTACTCTTGTTCAGTAGGCCGGTAATTCACATGCAGTTCCTTTGGTATCGCTTATATTCTCGGGTACTGGTCGTCACTTACCTTCAAGTGAGCCGCATTCGCTCCCTGTTCTATTAAATGGAGAAACCTAAAATAGGACAAACTCGTTCTAACGCATGACGCTTTAGAGTATTGAAATTTTAAATATCAATGTATCAACTCTTTACATTCCTCAGTGGGGTTATTCCGTAGGAGGAGAGATAAGGCATAGTTGAAACTTTTGGCTGGAAGATCGTAATACCAGAAATGTCGCACCTTCAAGACTGCTTGTTTGTGTATTTTATATTTGTAATGGTTATACCGCCGTATATCGAAGACCATGAGAACTTTCTGGAATATTTCGTACTCGTATCTTACGACATTACGTTACCAGCCTGTTAAAGTCCACTGCTGAACATGGACTTCTCCCGTAAATTGCCTCACGGGAGAAACTTGCCATAGTTGCCACGCTTGATAAGCAGGTCCTCAACCGCAGTTTTGTAATTTTAGTCGATATTATGAAGACGTTGCTACAAATGTCCTGTCTTGTTTATCCCTCTTACGACACCCACGGGGTTATATGGGGTAGCGGATATTCTTTCAGCGCTAATACACAGGTAGATATTTATAAATCATAGGTTATGTAAAAACAAATTGATATTAGGTTTCAAAGGTTTTTAAAACGCCCATTAAAGGAATAAAATAAATAATGTAATGAAACAATTATCCCATTTTTAACATTCAAGCAAGGACGTGTTATTAAGGAGTCTTGAAACTTTCGGATAAAACCTGATGGTATTAATCTTTGATGTATATCGATAGGGCCACGGGTACAAGGGCTTTTGCTTATGGCGCTTCTAAGAGATAAGAACAATCTTCTCCACGTTTCACTTCAGAGAAGATGCAACTATTGCCACCGTCTTAACATGGAAACTAAGGATTTTTCTTTCCCAAGATCATTCAGCCACCGTCTTAACATGGAAACTCCTTAGTTTCCCGAGATCGTTACATTAAGTCCAAGAAGCTAGGAAAAGCAGACAATTCTTACGGTGTTTCTAGTACTTTAACGTACCTCATCCAAAATATTTGTTTCTCCAAGTCGCACTATTTTGGGCTCAGGTTCAGCAACTTTCGTATCACCCCTCGGTGATCGGGAACAGTGAGCCGCAGTCAGCATGAACTTTTCAGATATGAGTGTGGCACCACACTTAAATATCCACTTGCCATTAACTGCTTTCCAGCCTACTGCACCCTAAAATAATTGCAGATATAATCAGAAACGAAATCCTCCACCTTGATAAAAAATCATACAGAACAATCTGTAAATATCCATTGCTGAATTGAGTTAAATCTATGGGAAAAGCCTGTGGTTATCCCTAATAGATTGCTTCATGATTTTCCCATAGTTTCCACGCTTGGCAGGTGGATTAGCAACCGAAGTTTTTTTTTAATTTTTGGGTGATATTAGGAAGACGCTGCTGTCCATTTCCTTCTTCCATCCAAGAGACGAAATGAGAAGGTGAATCTTTACAACACACTGTGCCCGGGGAATATGTTTTTAAACAGAGTAGTAAGTTTACATAATGATTTCTTATATTTACGCGAACACTACACATTGAAATAATACTAGTTTTTACGGAATTTATCGCGTATATTTTAACTTTTTAAACACCCGACGTTTCGAACGCTTTACAGCACTCATGGTCACGGGCAGGACTGACCATGAGTCCTGCCCGTGACCATGAGTGCTGTAAAGCGTTCGAAACGTCGGGTATTTAAAAAGTTAAAATATACGCGATAAATTCCGTAAAAACTAGTATTATTTCAAGAGTAGTAAGTGGTGGAGTAAAAATTATCTCGATTAATATTTAAGTCATTAATTATATGACTTCAGGTAGGTCATTAGTTTTATTAAAATTATATACTTACCTTTAGCTTAGGTACCTTTTATCAGAATAGTTGTCCGTTTGTGTAGACACTTGGTAGAGGTTCTTACTTATTTCTGCCTCCTTTTTGACTCCGAGCTGCTTCTGAGAATTTTTTGACAGAAAAATCCAATATCTGACTTTGGCTACCGGGATTTGAACCCTGGGATTGCAAGGCCAGCAGTGGCGTTTGCAGCCACTAGACACTAGTTGCAGTCAATAGTAAAATATTAAATAGATAAATGTAATAAAATAGGAAAATACCATATGGGGGAATTCTCCTGGTGCAGCATCATGACCTCCAAAAATTACACTAATACTGTAGTTGAATTCAATTCCACCTGCAATGTATACGAGATCTATATTATATGTGTATGTAAATACAAATATAAATTATAATTAGTTTATAATAGCACCGTTAAACTTACAACGTATACATCTTAACAGTACTTCGTCATAAAATCGCATCTTCCATAAATATTCAAGGCATTCTGAAAACAAGCATGGTTAATACTATTTAAAAAAAGAACGACCGATGAAAATACTAATAATACCCATTATACGATTACAAAACAACTTTATCACGTCTTTATTAAAAGTATTTAAAAATTAAAGTATATATATAAATAGTCGCTAACAAATTCGTTAATTTCGTTTCGTAATGGTTATAGATCCTAAATAATCATTCAAAATGAAAAATTACTAGAGAAACCTAAATAAGATTTTCAAAGATATCAAATGATACTCCACTCGACATAGTTGGTCGACTCTCATTTTGTTCTTATATCTTATATGCAATATGGTGTATGGTTGTCGCCATATTGAATTTTAATTACCGTTACGTCTTTAGTGACACTCAGATTAAGACAAATCGATTGTCGTAAGAATCATCAAAATCGACCCTCGCGTTTGGTCTTTAGTGCCACCAAGGAACAAACATACAAACATACTTACCTATATATTGGCTGATAAACACATTATCCTCCGCAATCAGGTAAATACACACCTTTATATAATCCAAGAACAAAGTATTTGCAATGTAAAGTAAGTTTACGAAAAATTAATTATGATGATAAAACCTTTTTAATTGGCAAGTGACAAGAAAAGTTATTTTGGTTCAGGCCCAAAGATTATTAGACAAAGGTATAATTGAATTTATACGGCTCTGTGGTGCTGTGGCTTAGGAATGAGATACAGCAGTGAAGACTGTGGGCTCGAATCCGACACGGAAAAAGTATTTGTTATATATCGGGATGTTTGTCCTTATGCAACTTATGCACATAAACTGCCTCTACTATATTGAAAAAAGATTTCTTTAACGATAAAAAATAAATGTTAGCCTATAGCAACCCTAACTTACTGATTTCACTTATTCTTCTACCAGGTGCGTGAAAATTTGGCATTTTGAATTCGAATCGATCGCAAGATTCAGGGTCGAAATCGTCATTTTCAGGAAGTTCATTTAACACAACAAATAAATTTTTAGCGGTTCTATCAACAAGGGGCACCTGCAAAAAATAGAGAAAAAATAAACATTTTTGTAAAAATTGGGAGAGAATTATGCAAAGAAAATAGATAAACTATATTTTAATTTTATATAACACCACCGGTACTATCTTGATATTTCTCCTAAAATGTTAAAGCAAACACTCATATGTTGCCTTTCGTTTGACGATCTAAAGTATCGTTGTTGACAGCAATATAGGCCCATGGGTCGACCTAACGCATTGTGGTTGTTTTCCGAGTAAATGCTATTAATTTGTAATGGGCTGAGTCACCCGCATCTATATTTTTTCCTCTTTATCATAATATGTATGTAATAGTGGAGACGAACTGTCCACTATTAACAGACTCCGAGTGGTTTTCTTTAAGGTGGAGAAATGAAACTACTGTTTATGTTTATGAATGTACTGTCGAATGGGATTCGGAATGGAATATGGAATATATTTTGCATCAACCTTGCCTATATTTATATGGCTGGCTCACTATTGATTTGCCAATGGTAACAATTAATATTTTGCCTAGCCAATTATATTGCTTATTTTATGACCAATGAAAACTATTTAAAATATACAATTATCTACGTTTCGTTTCCCGGCGTAAGACTTGTTTGTTGTTCACGAAGCTACGTCGCTGGACCGGGCTATATAAGACATGCAGATCGGTGCGCACGCGTAGTCGGCGGGCGGCGGCGGTGTGGAATACAGCTCCGGAACAGCAAGAGGAAACGAACTGCGGCGTTGAAGAAACGGCTCACCATTGGTCGACGGATACGTGACGATAGCGGCGTGTGAAGTCGGTGTAGCGCTGAATGATATTTGCGGCTGCTTCTTGTTTCTTTATAAGAACGTCAAATTATCTATATACAGTCCGCAGTATCTCAGTAGCCAAGAATAATTAGGAAATAAAATGTTTTTTTTATTTATTCTCGCCTTCCGCGTTATGGTAGCAGCGGAGTATATCTTATTTATTCCCGTTTAGGTTTGATTAATCTGGCTGCTACATCACTCTCCCCCCAGCGAAAGCGTACCGGAGGCTTGACGACTCGCCCGTATTTCGTAGTCTTTAAAATAGGTTTCAACTGGGTTGATGTAGATGATGAAGTTTCAAGCTTCCTCGCTGGTGGTTTTGATGATGATGATGAATCCTCTGCAGTATCCTCGTTAATAATATAGGCAGGCTTTAGTCGGTCGATCGATATAATCGTAGATTTCCTTCCGGGTATTTGTAGTTTAAAAGTCTTGCTATTTCTCTCTAATACTTTATACGGTACATCGTAGGTAGGTTGAAATTGTTTTTTCATTGCGTCGTTTCTTACAAAAACTTGTTTGCATGTTTTCAAATCTTGGTGAATGAATACTGATTTATTATTTCTGTGTGATTGCATTTCGGTGCATTTCAACGATAAGGCTTTGTTAATTGATTCTCGAACTTTAGTTACGAAATCGTAATCCATTTCTTGTTTGCTTGACGCTGCTGAACTGAAGAAGTCACACGGCAGCCTTATGCTGCAGCCGTAGGTTAGCTGAGCGGCGCTAAGACTAGTGTCTGCACGCGGTGTTGCTCGTAGTCCGAGTAGCACTGTAGGTAGCTCATCAATCCACTTTGTATGTTGAGATAAACGAGTTTTGAGTGCAGTCTTTAATGTACGATGCCATCGTTCGATTATTCCGTTTGACTGAGGATGGTATGCTGTTGTACGCGTCTTCTGTATTCCCATAGTTTGAAGAAGTTTGAGGAATAGGTTGCTTTCGAAATTCCTTCCTTGATCCGTTGTGATGGTTTTAGGTGATCCGAAACGAGTAATCCAATTTTCATAAATTATCTTCGCGACGGATTCGGCTGAAGTATCATCGGTAGGTATTGCTTCTGGCCATCTTGTTGTTCTGTCGATCATTGTTACGAGATAACGATGTCCTTGCGGTGAAGTAGGTAATGGTCCAACGATGTCAACGTGCAAGTGTTCGAATCTCTCCGTGGGTGGAAATGTAGCTAGACTACTTGATGTATGCCTTTGTACTATGCATTTTTGGCATTGAATGCATTGCTTCGCCCAGTTGCCAACATCCGCTTGCATTGCAGGCCTTAAGAATTTTTCAGTGATGAGTTTTCTTGTTGTTCTAACACCTGGATGACTAATGTTGTGCAGTGCATTGAAGACTTCGCGACGACATTCTTCTGGTATGTATGGTCGCATGGTTGTCGTTGAGGCTTCACAGTATATAGGTAGATGCGTCATTGGCATTGTAACTTGCTTGATGGACAAGTTACCTTGCTTCGCTAGATGTTTTATGTTGTCACTATCTCTGTCTTGTGCTGCGGCGATCTTATGATAGTCGATTGATGTAGGGCACGTTACACTGTCGATTGGTACGCGACTGAGTGCGTCGGCAACTATGTTGTCCTTTCCACTGATGTGACGTATGTCGGTCGTGAATTCACTTATGAAAATAAGTTGTCTTGCTCTTCGTGGTGTTTCCGATAGTGATGGTTTCTTTGGAAGTACATATGTTAATGGCTTGTGGTCGGTAAAAACGATCAGGTTTCGACCCTCGAACGTTTTTCTGAAGTGCTTGATAGCCATGTAAATAGCGAGTAGCTCTCGGTCGAATGTACTGTAGTTACGTTGAGTATCGGAGAACTTCTTCGAAAAATATCCAAGTGGTTGCCATTTCCCATTGCTGTATTGTTGGAGAACTGCTCCTGCTGAGAGATCGGATGCGTCGCTGAAGATAGCAAGGGTTGCTTCGTGTGATGGGTGAGCGAGTAAAGCTGCATTTTGGATCGCAATTTTACAAGCTTCAAATGCCTTCGTGGCTTCATCGTTCCATTCGATTGACGTTTTATCTTTTTTCTTCGTGTTGTGAAGGTAGGCGTGAAGTGGTGCTTGGATTTCAGCGGCTTTAGGTATGTGTTCTCTGTAAAAATTTATCATCCCAAGAAAAACGCCTTAGCTCTTCGATAGTTTTAGGTTTTGCATAATCGATGATTGCTCTGACTTTTTCGGCAGGCGGTTTTATTCCTTCCTTGCTGACGGTGAAACCAAGAAATTGAACTTCTTGCTGTCCAAATATGCATTTCGAAGGGTTGATTGTGATTCCGTTGTCTTCTAATCGCTGTAGCACGGTGCGTAGATGGGTTTCGTGCGTTTCTTTATCAGGGCTTGCAACAAGGAGATCATCAATAAATGCGAAAACGAAATCCAGTCCATGAAGTACTTCGTGTATGAATCTTTGGAAAGTTTGACCTCCGTTCTTTAATCCTGGGATCATTCTTGGGAATTCGAATAATCCCATTGGGGTAATTATTGCTGTCTTCTCTATGTATTCATCGCGGACTCTTATTTGTTGGTAAGCTCGGTTGAGATCGATGGTGGAGAATATAGTCTTGTCTGATAGTTGATGAGTGAAATTCCTGACTCGCGGTATTGGGTAGCGGTCAGGAGTGGTAATAGAATTCAGTCTTCTGTAATCTCCACAAACTCGTAATTCTCCGTTCTTCTTCGGTACAATGTGAAGTGGTGATGACCAAGGGCTTTTGCTTGGACGGCATATTCCTTGCTCAATCATGTTTTCGAATTCCTTTCGAACTTGCTCGTATAGGTGTGGTGCGATTGGACGTGCACGACAATGAAGTGGTGGTCCATTGGTGTCGATGAAATGCTCAACGTCGTTCTTCGGTGTTAATTTCATTGAAGTTATTCTTGTGATACCAGGGTATTCTTCGAGGATCTTGTGATACGGTTGTTGCACATCTATGCTTCTTATTGTGGGCAGATTGGTTGCTTGTACAAAAGACTGAGATGCAAGATTGGTTTTCCCGTCGATGATTCTTCTATTTTTGATGTCGACGACCAACTGGTGATGTTGAAGAAAATCAGCACCGATGATTGGTTTGCTGACTTTAGCGACGATAAATCTCCATTTGAATGGTCGGCGTAGATTAAAATCAAGTTCCATTGTTTTTTCTCCATATGTAGGAATAACCGTATTGTTTGCTGCATAGAGTTGAAAATCTAGTGGCTTCAACTTCTGTCCTTGCTTCGGCGGTACCACTGAGATATTTGCTCCGGTGTCGATAAGGAAAGTAAGCTTGCTTTTTTATCGGTGACGAAAAGACGGTAGGACTTTGCTGTTACGCTGGATCCCGTCGCATCGAGCGTACTAGTTAGTTTTCCGTATTCGTATTTTCATTTTTGAATGTACACGGTGCTGTGCATTTTCTTGCCTCGACCCCGAAACGTCGATGATAGTAGCAGTAAGGGGATCTTGATGTTGAGCTTATTCGACTTCTACTTGCAGAGCGGTTGCGACGAAAAGGTGATCTTCGGTGTTGCTGATTGCGCTGGTTGTACTGTTGCTGGTAAAAGGTATGATGCTGGGAAGCTTTGAGCGCGGCGACTTCGAATGATAGCTTCCGAATTTCTTCGAGAAGAAACTGGGTATCATTGGCCTTTGTTGAAGTGCCTTCGATGATCGATATGTGTGAGCTACTGCTGTTTTCGATCATCTTGTCCGCCAGGAGTGCCAGTTCGTCGAGCTTCGTCTGCGTGCTGAATGTTTCGCTGACTGCTATTACCGATCGAATATGTGGTGGTAGTCGGTTTACCCACATTAGCCGTAGTGTTGAATCCGGAACTTTATCTCGCGCCAAAGTACGCATTTTGCGTAGGAGTTGTGTGGGTTTCTGGTCTCCAAGTTCTATTTCTGATAGGAGTTTTTGTAGCTGTCGACTGTCGGATTCTTCATATGCGGAGATCAGACGATCCTTCAGTGAATTATACTGGTCGACTGCTGGTGGGTTGTACAACAGGTCCGCAATTTGTTCGATGTCTTGTTTCTCAAGTTGGGCTATCACCATCTGTGCTAATTGCGCTTGGCTCTTCTTTAAACCATTCGTTGCGGCTTCAAAACTGACGAACCAAAGTCGTGGTTTGTCTCTCCAAAACGGTGGTATTCTTAACGATAGAGATATACCGGCGATTTCTGGTTCTTTTACCGGGTTTGATGTATATGTGTTTGCCTCCTGCTCCATAATGACGGCTTGATTACACTGATTATATATAAACTGAAGTCTTCCTTCTCGGTGTTCGTACGGGTTTCCTTCGCGGTGTTCGTGCAATAGTAGTGGTACGTCGCAGGGTGTTCCTTCTTGGTGTTCGTACCGGATCTTCCCCCCTCGGTGTTCGTACGGGGTCACCACTGTAATAGTGGAGACGAACTGTCCACTATTGGAGACTCCGAGTGGTTTTCTTTAAGGTGGAGAAATGAAACTACTGTTTATGTTTATGAATGTACTGTCGAATGGGATTCGGAATGGAATATGGAATATATTTTGCATCAACCTTGCCTATATTTATATGGCTGGCTCACTATTGATTTGCCAATGGTAACAATTAATATTTTGCCTAGCCAATTATATTGCTTATTTTATGACCAATGAAAACTATTTAAAATATACAATTATCTACGTTTCGTTTCCCGGCGTGAGACTTGTTTGTTGTTCACGAAGCTACGTCGCTGGACCGGGCTATATAAGACATGCAGATCGGTGCGCACGCGTAGTCGGCGGGCGGCGGCGGTGTGGAATACAGCTCCGGAACAGCAAGAGGAAACGAACTGCGGCGTTGAAGAAACGGCTCACCATTGGTCGACGGATACGTGACGATAGCGGCGTGTGAAGTCGGTGTGGCTCTGAATGATATTTGCGGCTGCTTCTTGTTTCTTTATAAGAACGTCAAATTATCTATATACAGTCCGCAGTATCTCAGTAGCCAAGAATAATTAGGAAATAAAATGTTTTTTTTATTTATTCTCGCCTTCCGCGTTATGGTAGCAGCGGAGTATATCTTATTTATTCCCGTTTAGGTTTGATTAATCTGGCTGCTACATGTATAAGTCATTTAGTCGGTTCGCTCTGCATAACTCAACAATACGACGGTGCTATTCAAAAACCTTTTTTACAGGTTATAACTTCATGTCCATTGCCGTGTAGTGGCGTATCATCTTGTGGGTGTCGTAAGAGTGATAGAAGATAATCAAACCGGAGATTAGATTTTCAAAAGGAAGGAAAAGCGCGGTGGGCGGCGCCCTTGTCTCAAAAATAAAAATGACGGGCAGCAACATCCGCCTGATTAAATAATAAATCCCATTAAATAATAAAAAAAACTGCAATTTCCAACTGGACTTTTGATGCAGTAATTGGTAAGGAAGCGTCAGCATTGCATAAGATATTTTATTGCAAGTGCTAATCCAGCACCCAACATGAACTGTTTTGCGGTTTAATGGTGCTATATAGTAATTATGTACTCTTGTAATCTGTTTTATGTACGAGTATAATTAAATAAAGAAATAAAATTATGTCAAGATCTCGACAATCTCCCAGAATTACTTACGGAATCTGCTAGTGCTAAGTTTTTTTTTAAATTAATACTTTATATTTTAAATTTTTAATGACAACTGTTTTTAGTAGCCAGTAAATAAGGCTAAGGCTACGATGTATTGATAAGGTAGCTTCAGAATATTAGTATATAAAAAAAATATATAGTATAAGATTGACAAACGAGCACACAGTCAATCTAATGGTAGCTGGATAATGGGCACTTAGACATCTACATCTATCCTCGATTAGGAATAAAAATGAACGCCTTGTCACCCCTGACGACTTAGATGGAATCCGTTATTTCCAGTAAAAAGCGTCCCCAGATTCCTACACTAACCATATGAAATACAGCAGCATTGAACTGCTATTTTACGCTGCTATTCTTGTGAGAGCGTGGTCCTTTCCTGGACAAACCGACTCATTGGTGATACAAACTTATAGTTGCAGCATGGCGCGATTACATAAAAATAAATTGTGTTAAAGAATTACTTACTTTACTAGTGCTGTTGGCATCCTTTGGTTTAAGTCGTAGAAGTCTCTTTGCTGATGTTACACTTGAAGTACCTGACAGAATTGTCGCTGCAAACATAAAAATTTTATAATTTATATTCTTTTCATTCTAATTTAAATTATTACGATTGCAAAAAACGCATTTAATGTAAAATAGAAACAATAGTAACAATCGAAATGTTCATACATTATGATTAAGCGGTAAAATATGCGTAAAATTAATTATGTCCAAAAATAAAATGAAAATGAAATAGTGTGTATTACGTAGTTTGAAGGAAAATTCCATCCCTCCTAAAATAATACGTGCACTTTCACTACCATCACAGAACTCAATACCACAACATTAGGAAACACATACCACCGTCTATACTACACGTATTTATTAATATCTAAATGAGGCATCGTTGGGAGAAATAAACTCTTCGATTTCTCTTTTGACGCCACTTGAATACGAAAAAACTTGTACTCGAATATAAATAAACCATGGTTGCGCAGGAGATTAGCATTTACAATAAAATATAATAGTACCCCGCGCTGAGGACAAAAAGTGTAAATAGCTGATTTACCACGTGTTCGATGGTAGAGTTAAACATATTGAGGATATTGTTTTATTACGTGGTAGAGCCATGCTGCTGTTATATTAGTAGCATAGTTGTAGCACGAATGGGTCGGCTCGACCGGGGAAAGACCACGTTCTTACAGAATACCAGCGTGAAATAGTAGCCTGATGCTGCTGTGTTTCGTATGGTGAGTGTAGAGAACCGGAGACCCTTTTTACTGGAAACGAGGCATTCCATCTTAGTCCTCACGGGTGACAACGCATCTGCATTTTGATTTTTAATGGAGGATAGATGTAGATGTCTATGGGCCGCAGCAACCACTTACCATCAGGTGGATTGTGTGCTCGTTTGTCACCCTATTTTATAAAAAAAATCTCCCACCGGGCAAGGTGTTCTGCCCGGGGAGCGGCCAACACTCCGTGTGATAGTTCGGAGATGTTCTATATATACTGTTTATGATTCGGAATGTTGATAGCGCGATTTAGGCTTCGGTGTTTCGGTGTGCTAGTGGCGCGACGACAGCGCCGCTACAGGGATGTTCGACCTTTACTCTCGACGCACAGGACGCACACGGTGATTTCCTGTACCTGTACCTGTACGGTGAAAAGCCCTGGGACTTAAGATCCTCCCGGATATCCTCGTTGGCGAGTTCGGAGGGAACTCCGCGGAGGACAGCCCTGATTTTACGCTCTTCCGAAAGAGCGTAAAATCTTTTACTGGAAATGAGGCATTCCATCTTAGTCCTCACGGGTGACAACGCATGTGCATTTTTATTCGTAATCAAAGATAGATGTAGATATCTGGGCCATCTGGGCCACAGCAACTACTTACCATCAGGTGGACTGTGTGCTCATTTGTCACCATAGCCTACAAAAAAAGAATTGAAGAAAGTATTCATCATCATCATCATTACAGCCCTTCACAAGTCCACTGCTGAACATAGGCCTCCCCCAAGTAATGCCACAAAGCACGGTCCTGAGCCACCTGCATCCATCGACTTCCTGCATGTCTTACCAGGTCGTCACTCCATCTAGTGGGGGGTCACCCTACACTACGCCTACCGGTACGAGGCTGCCACTCGAGAACCTTTCTTCCCCATCGGTTATCGGTTCTTCGAGATATATGGCCGGCCCATTGCCACTTCAGCTTACTAATCCGTTGGGCTATGTCGGTCACTCTGGTTCTACTGCGGATATCCTCATTTTTAAGTTTATCACGCAAAGAAACTCCGAGCATAGCCCTCTCCATAGCTCGCTGAGCGACTTTGAGCGTCCTCATACGGCCAGCAGTGAAGGACCACGTCTCAGTTCCATATGTCATCACTGGCAACACGGACTGGTTGTACAACTTAGTTTTCAGGTTTGAGGTATACCTGACGAGAAGATGTGTCGTAATTTCCCGAACGCTGCCCAGCCGAGTTGAATCCGTCAATTGACCTCTCGGTCAAAGTTGGACTTACCTAGTCCAACTATCTGTCCCAGGAAAACGTACTCGTCAACAACTTCGAGCATAGTGCTCCCAACAACTACCGGCATAGGTGTGACATGGACATTAAACATGATCTTTGTTTTGTCCATGTTCATCTTATGACCTATCCGTTGGGAGACACCATTGAGGTCATTGAGCATAGTGCTAAGGTCCTCCAGCGATTCTGCCATAAGGACTATATCGTCGGCAAATCGAAGGTGAGTGATGTACTCGCCATTGATGTTAATACCGTATCCTTTCCAGTCCAGTAGCTTGAAAACGTCTTCCAACGCAGCGGTGAAGAGTTTCGGGGATATAACATCACCCTGTCTTACACCTCTCTGCAGTTGGATAGGTTTCGTACTCTGGTTCTGTACTCGGATAGCCATCGTAGCCCTACTGTACAAACAATTCAGCACTTCAATATACCGATAGTCAACTAGGCACCGCTAAAGAGACTGTAGCACCGCCCAAATTTCGACGGAATCAAAGGCTTTCTCATAGTCCACATACGCCAGGCAAAGTGGCAGATTGTACTCTCCGGACTTCTGTACAATTTGCCGAAGGGTATGTATGTGGTCTATGGTACTTAAGCCTTTTCGGAAACCGGCTTGTTCGGGAGGCTGGAAGTCGTCGAGTCGAGAAGAAAGTATTAGAGTATTTAAAATATTTCAAGAACGTGTAAAGGCAACGCGGCCGAATCTCCTCTGCTTCTAAGCTCTTCTATAAATTAGAGGACGTATATGCCTAGCGATGGGAAGTATGTAAAATATTACTTTCCTTTTGGAAGATAATCTTACATAAATAATTAAAATAATAAACACAATTCTTTCTATTCACCAGTTTCTCTCCCTTTTCCCCAAACATTGGCATTTTGGTCACCCTCGCTGATGGTCATTTTAAGTATGTCTGTCCTGTCTTATTGAGATTTATATTATAAATTTCAATATTTTTATGAACATTTATAAATCCAGATCAGACGATGGAAGACATCGACATTATAAAAACACGTTGGCATAATAAAAATTCATGTTTTTCTTTAGATTTTGTTTATAACTAACAAAGTAATCAGTAGAAAAATAATTAAACTGTGGCAACTGTGGTAACTTGCTCATAAGCAAGAAAGTAGCCATATTTCACGTTTATATAATATTTTGGACAAATAAGGTAAGAGTAACCAGTCTATATAAGTGTCATAAGAATGTATATGTAATAAGTATTTAATTTAAAATAATATAAGTTAAAATTAATTTAATATAACTTACTAGTTTTTCCAATGTTCAGGTCTGTAGCTCTATTTTTAGGATTAAATGATTTTTTATTTTTATTTTTTTAAGTATCCTTTAAATTGATTATCTTATTATACATCAAATCTTCTGCTTCATTAACAAGAAACCGTAAGGTTTTCTGTTAAGTAGAATGTTCATCAGATGGAGACTTGTATCTATGTCGTTGCTTGTCCTGGTCAGTGTATTTTACGTCCAATGTAAAAGAACTAATATTATTACGATCCATCGAAAGCAACGAGATATCTCTGGGATTCCCGATAGTCACCTTTTACAATAAATACTAAAGAGCATAATAGGCTGATGTTATTTATTTAGGACAACATGTTGTCGAACATTTTCTATTGGTATAACGTTTCAACAACTGTAAAATTTTAAAATTAAAATAAGATATTATAAGATGAAGTATGTAAAATTTTATACGTGGTCAGCTCAATCAGGGGAGCACCGCGATCTCACAGAATAGCATCGTAAAATTGCAGCTGCTGTTTTTAATATCAATGTGTGTAGAGAACTAAAGATTATTTTCATCTTAGAGGTTACACCGCACCTACATACATTTTAACTCTTAATCGAGAATAGATATAAATGTATGTGAGCTACAGGATGCTCTAGTTCATATACATTTATATCTATGGATGGATGAAATGGATGCATTTACCATCGGGTGGACTGTGTGGATTTATTTTGTCATCCTTAAAATATTAACAAAAGATTTTTAAATTTTTTACGCACTCATTCCAAACCTATTAAAATATAGATAATTTAAAGTTCTTTCAATACGTACCATAAGTTAACGCCAGAATTAAAACAGAAACGTCTACTCTGGATTTGAAAAACATTTTTATATCTATTAACGATGCGGAGGATAGGTGTCTCTCTGTTTAAATGTTTATTGTGTGGCCGTAGAAAGGAAAAGGGGAGATCTCCCGCCGGGCAAGGTGTTCTGCCCGGGGAGCGGCCAACACTCCGTGTGATAGTTCGGAGATGTTCTATATATACTGTCTATGATTCGGAATGTTAATAGCGCGATTTAGGCTTCGGTGTGTTTCGGTGTGCTAGTGGCGCGACGACAGCGCCGCTACAATTGTTAATGTAAACTAAAATGGATTACTGCTGTCCTATGGAGATGCAATGACGTGCGCAGTTATTGATCTAAGAGTCTGTTTACACTAAGACTTGACGCAACGCACTGACGAGACGCGCACTTTTTAATATATTGATACAAAATTTAACTATATTTACCTACACAAAATACACTTTTTGTAGAGATAATTCATTATCTTAGCTCCAACCATAATAGAGTTCTTATTTTAATATTAAATAACGGAGAACTCTATCGTGGTTGGAGCTAAGATAATTCAATATCTTAGCTCCAACCATGATAGAGTTCTCCGTTATATTAATAACCTTTTGCTTCAGTGCCCCCCTTTTAGTACTAACTTTGTACAATCATCGTTCTTTGTTCAATCTGTTCTTCTTTGGAACGTTCTTCCTTCCGAAATCAGGAGTGCCGGATTTCGTTCAAGTCTAAAGTGCGAGAACTGCTCGTCAATAAAATTGCAGAATCAACTTAGCGTTCGTAGTTAGCGTGTTTAATATTATATTTAATATACAGAAAGGGTCCCACATATATGCAATAAATGAAACCATATACTTGTTATCGCCTTTGCTGACGATATACAAAAAATGAACGTAATCGGTCCAGTAATTAGGTCAAAAAGTAGAATTTTAATTTTAAGCAAATTTGAACACTCTATAGAATT